TGGAGCGCGTGCAAAGATGGCAGGTATCGTGAATAAGGTCTGGTAAATTGGAGGTTCTGAAGAGCAGTGAGCTCGGCAAGACTACTGAGGCCCTTTTACTCGAAAGTGCAAACTCACTCACTGAACGGAGCCTTAAACCCATAAAATGGCCATAAATCGGCTCGGAACCGCACGCGAAAGAAGAAACACGCCACTTAAGTAAGGTAAGTCGCTTGTTGTTGTTGTTGTTGTTGTTGTTTTTGTCTCTTTTATATTTTTAGGTTTCAGAAGCAATTTTTTTCCCAAAACAAATCCGTACATTTCGAAGGTAGCGCAGCAGTCTGTTCCGACCCTTATATTTTAAGCTCAGGCCTCCTGTGATGATGCCTATGTAACAAATTATTGAAATTTCCAAGAAGAGCCGGATGCTCTTTCATTGAAAAAGAAAAACCGGTTTCATCCAATCAAAACTGGTTCTCATGGTCAGGTGCTTTTCTGGGTAAGGTGCAGCGACAAGCGCGGCCATTTCTTCAAACCTTAGAATCGAAAGTGAATCAATTGGTGTTATTCTGCTTCCATAAAAGAAAGAACGAGTCTTTCCTTCTGTGAACCAACTGCGTAAACTGAACGAGCTAAGGTGAGTTAGCACACATAAGAGTATTTTATAGTGGCCTTTACTGAAGACCAAGAAAATATTAAGTGCTTCTCTCTTTAGGCTCAAAATGGCGTCAACTCGAAGTTGCTTGAAAGTAGTGATATGTTACTTATATTAAAAGTACAATCCCAACTTTAAAGTGACGAGTATGGTTTCAAACTATGGCATTCAGTCTTCAGAATCCCTGAAGTCGTAATTCAGTCGCACTTCTCTATAAACCTCTCGATTCTCTAAGGTGAAATTGATACTTTGAAACTGAAATTGAACATTGGATCCAAAAACGCCTCGGTAGAGTTAATAAAGCGAGCTAATGAAATTTTTCATTGTACTTTCGAAAACGATCAATGATCCCTCAAAACAGAGAGTAATCTCCTACATCTTGATCGCGATAGCCGCTTTAATTTGTTCCGTTGGATGCGAATCGAAATTGTAATTTGACCAAACAATGAACTGAAAGGCCATTCCGTTGCTGTAGAGGGGACCAGAAGTGAGATATCAAACGCGCGACAGTGTAACATAACAAATATACTTAAGTAAAACGGTTGTATCTTTTTTCTCGTGATACAAAATCCCAGCATGAATTACCTTCCCTCTTAAATATTTCTGTTTTCAATCTCCTCTGCCCTAGGGTTGTTTAGACCGTTGGACATGACTGGCATGATCTCATATACAACGTTTAGCGAAACAGCAGCGATTTACATTTTAACTATTTTACTTACGATCATCGCCATGATTTTCGGAATTAGGAGGTTTTTCCTGGAGCGGTTACCTCTAATGGCCGCCTGTATCTTCTATTCGTATGGTTTAAACAAATTATATGAAATTATTTCAATCCGATAAAAAAATCTACAGGAGACCTTTTTATTGAGTGAGCTATTTAGCCGCTTGTATTGGTTCCCTGCTCACTCCATAGAAGGAAACTAGAGGTTTTTAAAATTTCACTTACACAAGATCAGTTCCAAGAAATCGCTTCCCTCCTAAGCCCCTGAAAACAGGTGGTTTGCATGTGACGTCACGGCGGCCTTGTTGGCGGTCAAGAACAAAAGCATTTCTCTCCTCAGGGAACTAAACTCCATTTTCATGTACATTCTTTCAGAGAAAGTTGTATTGACCACTCCAGAAAATCCCGCAACGTACCATAATGCCATTTATTTGTCACCCTAAAATTTTGCGTAAGCATTGTCTTCAGTTTCTCTTGGGAGTTAAAATGGCCCCAAGAGAGACCGAAAACAGTGCTTATGCAAAATTTTGGGGTGACCAACAAAAAGCATTATGGTATGTTCTGGTATTTTCTGGAGAGGTCAAAAGTATTGACCGCCAACATGGCCGCCTTCTCACGTGAAGGAAACCAAGAATAGGTCAGGTTTCGAAGCTTTATCCTTCTTTAGTTCTAGTTATTTCTAACGAAATTTTGTTACAGCTGATAGACAGAATATTAATGTGAAATCACTATTTCACAGTAGGGTCAGATCAACCTTGTTCCCAGGTTCTCTCTCCTACCCGTCGTCTCTCGCTCCGTAGGGACGGGTAGGAGAGAACCCTCGGAACAAGGTTAGGGTTAGATACATTTTGTCGGCATAATTTGGGGTATAATCCCTATAGTTGGAGCATCGAGCATAATGCCGGCAAGATGAACATTTTCAAAAGCATAAAGAAAATGATAAGAAAATGTAAGTAAATATGAGACTTTTTAACTTTCAAGTGCCTAAACTGAAGAAATTAACTTATTCAAAGGGTTAGTTGCTACTTTCAAGGCCTGGTTGCGCAGTTGCATCATCATGCCAGACTGCAAACCAATCAAAGAATAAAGAAAGAGAGTTCCATAAAAGAAGACAGTTTGCATGCTTTTGAGCATTATTAGTCGTTTATTTCGTGTAAATTTGTAATTGAGGCAATACGACATTGTGTTTAAGGCTTATAAAAGTATTTTTTTGTCTGCAGGCATAGAAAAAGGCACCAAATATAACCAAGATCAGTCGAGAATAATGCTAAATTTAATTTAGAGCATAATTTTAGGTATAATACTGTTGTTTTGAAGGTGACGCTCAAAAGCTTAATGTTCAAATTTCCGAGCATAATGTATCTAACCCTATTTCCCCGGGATGTATTTGCAAAGGTTCTTGTCAACACAAAGTAGAAATCCTACTTTATACGTTTTAAGTCAGCATTTTAAACATTAAAATTATACTAATTTTTCCGTGACATGTATTGTTGTTTTTTGTAAATCGCTGCACTTTCAGGAATTTTGCAAATCATTCATCAACAGATGCAAAGCAATATGGTCATATTCCAACAAATCACATTATTACACAAGTGACAGCCTCCCGTTAAATAACTAAAGCTTTTAGACATGAGCGAAGGGGCAGAAACTACGAAATTTTGCAAAAGATTTCAAAGGCTCGTAAAAGAAGAAAGGTAGACGAAATTTCATCTTCGTACAGGGGTGAGGACAAAACATGGACCAGGGGTCCATGGACCCCTACTTTGGACCGGGTCCATGGACCACTTTCATGGACCGGGTCCATAGACCCCCTGTCATGGACCGGGTCCATGGACACTTTTTTTTAAATAATGAGAAATGAACAAAAACAGAAATAGTGCAAAAATAAGGTTAAAAACAACAACAACAACAACGACAACAAACAATGCTCAATTGATCAGTAATAATTAATTGTGCTTTTATGGTGTAAAAAAGAGGCGTTCGGTAGGCCCGCAATTGCAAGACACGACTTTTACCTTATGCCAAAATGCTGCTTGTTCCAATAGATTGTTTTCTCTGACGGGTAGATTATGCTTTGGATGAAAACGTTTTGACTGAACAGATGTGAATTTTTGCCGCTTATTTTATACTGAGAGGTCGTTACACGTGTATTGATTTTCTACCTCTTGAAATGTAAAGCTCTTCATTGCGGCTGATTAAGGGTGTTAGGTTGTTTAATTTCTCCAAGAAAGTGCCTCTTGGATCTGAATAATTCTATAAGCCATTTTCTTTTTGTCCGTGGATGTCACTTTTTCCTGCAATGTCTTGTCACACTAGGCCCAGCTCGTTTGCGTTTTTAGCAGGATGATTAATTCTCACGGATAGTGATTCAAGATCCAAATCTCGTAAAAGCGGATTGAAGCTTAAACTGAAGCTACATCAACTATGGAGAATTGCGATTTGACTCTGTCATTATGATTGCTCTAAAAGCAATGAATTCTAAACTCCAGCTTGTTTTTCTGAGGATAATGCGAGTCTTTGTACTGAAGCGCGTAATTCCTCCCTTGGTGATAACCTTTGAATTAGCTTAACAGTCTTGCGACTGCACATTTACAAGCAGAGTGTACGTCATGTAAGCACAACGAAATATTTGTGAACAATCGCTTTCATGGGTCGACAGCTTCTTGTCAAATCTAATTTTTGCACTATTTCTGTTTTTATTCATTTCTCGTTATGGCATCCAGTCTTCAATAACCGATTTCTTCAAGCAACATGAACTAAATACATCTATTTTTTTAAAATAAGGCCGAGTGTTCTCTAACTTCCTGAAACCTTGGTGAACTCGTAAGCTCAGTGCACACATCTCTGACATCGGATCCAGTCACTGTCCAGTCGTCTAAACGTATCATAATAACATGCGTCTCGTGCTCTCGACTTTTGTTCTTCGTGGCGCCTCACGAAATGCATAATCTAGTAAGTCCCCTTTCGTCTGTTGGACAAATTCAACAATCTCAGGTAATCAATGGCCGTTTTGTGGGCTATAGGCAAGGCGTGCACGCCGTTGGCTTCGACTTAGCTCGTTGGGTTTCTCGCCTCTAAGGAGGTTTTTTTGGAATCTCAGGGCTGTTCTTGTTTCATTCTAGTGGCTTTGAGTTTGATTCTCTATAATTTCCTATTTTAGTAACCGTTAAGATTTCGTTTTCTTCATTTCTTTCTCAGGCGTTTTCCCAGGTTGAGCGTCCTTGCATCTCCCAAGTTCGTTTTTGTCAGTCGTGCGTGGGCATTTAGCGGCGATTAGCCGAATAGTCCACGTTCAATAAATTAAAATTCTAACATATATGACTCAGAGGCTTTACTTTTTCGCGGCTCCATCGTCTTGCAATTCCAAGAAGAGATTTAAGCAGAAAGAAAACCAAACCAAATAAAGAAATAAGGCCATAAAGCCTCGGAGTCATGTTGGAATTTTAATATATCGAACCCGGGCTAACCCGCACGGGTAGATTTTCACCCTATATATTTTTTTCCAGCAAATCAAAATGTTACAATGATCTGCCTCGACACAGCCTACGATATTCTGGGAAAACGACATCCTTTTCTACCGGACGAAATCGATATTGTTCATTTGTTATTATGATAAGGCTTATATTACCGTTTACTCTTGCTTTTATGCAGGGCATATTAGGTAAGACAATGGAAATTGGAAATACCCTGGAGTCTGCAGCAAGGATTGTTAGTGGATTGGGGCAAGAATTCACCAACACATTTGAGGTCTTGGGTAACATAAAGGAATACTTCCAAGACGTTCTAAAGCACAACTTGGAAGATCATTTCGTACAAAACCTGTGCTACTCTGTGCTGTGTGGTGGTTTCATCCTCCTGAAATGTGGCTACGCAAATCTTAACAAAACAATCCAGGAAATGGAGAAAGAAGAACTCCCTAAAAGAGTACATCCCTACGTCAGGGAGATAAGAAGTTATTTTGAGTCGATGGAAAAAAAGCTCCAGGAGTTAGACAATACAGTGACAGAGATACGGACAACGGTAAGTACTTTACTTAAGGACTCTTTCGCTAAATATTTATCGCGTACTTGCCGAATGAATGAACGACTTTGTTGATGTGTCAATCTTCTAGCCGGCTACACGTAGACTACTAATCTGGACACCTAAAGCTCCTACATCTTATTTTTGCAGCACTATCATAATGTCACGATAGCCTTCGAGTGGTGCTTGAAAGGGCAGGTAACAGGTAGTTGCCGTCCTTTTGCCTGCAGTTTTAGGTGACACCCATTTTTTTTTATCAGAACTTGAATTGTTTCCTCATTACTTTTTGCTTAGACCCTTTGAATCGAGATTATCCAGCTGGATAAGATTGTCAAAAGAAGACGAATTCTCATTGCGTTAAATGACTCATAGGAACTGTTTTCAAGTTCAGCAAAAGATTTGGAAAAATTTGTCTTCGTGAGTTTGATGGGGGTGTGTACCGTAAAAGACCTATTCAAGTTAAGAGTAAGGATAGACTAACGATGGCAACACAGTAACCCTGAGCGAGGATGCTGACATCGATGTTGGATTGACCCTGAAAGAGAGATATAGATCTCTACACGGCCTAGACTAATCGATTGATGGAGTGAATACTTCCGCTTTTTTTAAACTCTCACAATATTTTCGCCGAATTCTTATTTAATTGGTTGGTTGAGCTTGTTACAGCTATGATTCCAAATAAACGCCTCCTCTTGGACACCTAAGATTAAATAGACGCCCCGGGCGTTTATTTATTAGGTCATTGACGGTATGGAAGTTTACTTCGTCCATCGTAATAAGATACTGTAGTGAATTATCCGTACCAAGGATGGCTGACAACTGCGCACTTCTAAAAATGTCAGGCAGACTCATCCTCCCAAAGAAGTAAAACAATCGGATTGACCATAAGTTTATTCCCTTTTGATTTCCTTAATACAGTCAGCCACGTAGCGATTTTAGATCAAATTATTGTAATGATAGCAATAAGGACATATTAAAGCACTTTTGACAGGATATATTTTACATATTGAGTACGATAATTAACAATATTATTGAAAAAAGCTCATTGTAATTTGAAGAACGATGTAGATCGAGGAGCTGAAAGGGATTATCCACCGAGTTCGAAGGACGACTGTCTTAAAATTTATTAATTCTGCGCTTATTTCATTATGACCAAAAAAGCTGAGCTGCCGCGCCGCTTTTAGTGGCACTACTCGCTATTGATGTTGTAGTGACTGGAAGTCAATGATTGAATGTTGCCTGCCACTCCCAAATTTGGTCGGCATTACCTGGTAATGAAGAAACCAATCAGGAAGAACGAAACATTTTGAATAAATAATAAGATAAGGGGAATTATTGAAAACTGAATCATTGGATAATGCAATTCTAGAGCTCTGATTGGCTTAGCCATCATGATATATGAGCCATTATACCATGCTCTCCAAATATGGTAACTGTACGCGTCTGCTCAAAATTAAAAACAAGCTGAAAAATGAAGTTTGGAAGAATTTGCGATATTACGTGGGCGTTTTCAATAAGACAATTATTCCACTCGCGCTTGTTGGGTGTGACATGATTATTGCCAACTCATATCCAATGCGCACTCGTGGAATAATTGTTAATTATGCAAAAACAACGAGGGCGTTATCCGCCACAGAATTTGCTAAATTCAAAGTAGCAGACAAATTATTCCAAATCTTCTAGGTTTGGTAGCCGATTAAGAGACTGATAAGTATGAAATTCAGTCTCCCTGAATTTTCTCTCATTTTATAAATTTAATAAATTCTCACTCAGATCAGGGAATCTAAACCCCGAAAATACAAACTTACCCCAGAAGAAAAGTTGGAGTTGAAAATGCTGATGAGAGATTTCAAAAGCGATTTGAAAATTGCTGAGAACTATTTAAAAGAAGCAGATAGAGCCCTGAAGTCTCTTCAGTCAGAAGTAACAAACTACTTGATAAAGGAAGGCGTTTTAGCTGCAGGTGCGGCAGCGCTGGTGGGGGCAGGCGCTGGAGCAGCTTGCGGAGCAGGTGAGTAAATCGTAGGACAGCTTTACTGTAGATCATTCAGTTTCCGTTGAATACATGACTCAGTCCTTCACGAAAAAAATTTGTCTTTATTAACAACAACGTGACAACGACAACATAGCTTTGTTGTAAGAATTAACTTAAAACTAATTGCACTGCCCCGCAGATAGCAAAAGCTAATCTAGGCGGGACAGATGGACAACTGGGGGTTAGGGTTTGACTCCTTTAAATAAATATTGTTACATAAATAAATTTTAAATTTATATCATTACATAGACAGAGTTAAGGAAACGATAACGTTACAGGTTCGAGAGAAAAGTTAGTTGAAACTTTAAAGACCTAAACATAATTATTTAGCCAGTCAAACTTTTTCTATGATAATAGGTGTTTTTATATAATCATTTTCATGTACTAAAATAACTAGGAGAAGTCGACGAATTTCTCTTTTTAAATTCCTTACGATAAAATTTCTAACTATACTTCCTGGGTGTTACAGGCTGAAAGAAAAATGATGAAATTGGAGATTCACATTTTGTTCAAATACTCAAGATCGTGACCCGGTGAATGTAGAAGTTCAGTAATACCTGCTAGTCGACATCCAACAGAAGCAAAGTGTTCATTCATTATATGCGGGATCTTCATTTCTTCTTTCATGATTCGATTATTTTGGTTACAGTCTCTAATTGCATTCATAGACTTGGAGTTTTTCTTACGGTGATGGAGTAATTCATTAATTCCCTTTCAAGTACTTTTTCGTTGCTTTCGAAATATTCATGGTCGTACTGTACTTACTTTTACTGAGACGTATTAGGCTACAAATTATGTTTCTAATTAGCTTTGTCACCTGAAGTATAAAAACAAAGTACTTCGACGTTAAGGTTGTTACTTTCACTGTTCAATTTTGAGGTATTACAAACATCCGGTTAGATTTCTAAACTTTTTGAAAGTTTTCAAAGGAAAACGTCTGAGTGTTTGAAAACCCAACTTCGACGAAGCTGGTGTCATCGATTGCCGGAGCCAATTTCCAGTATGATTCTACTCGGGCATGAAATGCTTTCAATTCAAATGCTTCAGGCTTTGAGATAAACGAAAAGATAATTAGGTCAACGAATCAATTTATAAATACTTGCCCATTTTTACATTAGTACATATTTTAAAAATCCCACCAATGTAGAAAAACTAAACACTTTAGAAATTTGACCGCGGTGCAACTCTGTCTCCTTTGACTGTGAGGCTTCAAAGAGTTTCTCCCAACCATAATAGACTATAATAAATACAAAGAATACGTTTAACATATGCAAAAGACACAGTAGAGTAAAATGTAAGGTGTAATTAGGAGAAGATATGTGAAATCACTCACACAGAATGGATATTACGGAACAATGTCCTTAGTTGTAATACATCACCACGACATTGCCAATTCAAATTTTTTTTAATTGCATGATGTTTGTTAATGATCTGGACGTTCTTAAGCTTTCTAGTTTTACTTCACATTTATTATGTTATCAAGAACTTCTGCTTTCAACCACTCAGTAGAAATTCAGTTCAGTTAGCCCTTGAGAAACTAAATGTCAGAAAGGCCTGTGGTTATGACTCCATATCTCCTAGAATGTTAAGGCTAGCATCAAGTGGCATAGCAGATTCCTTAACAAAACTTTTTAATGAGTGTATAAGGAAAGGTGAATGGCCTGAAGCATGGAAGAATGGAGAGTGGAACCCAGTCCACAAAAAGGATGACCGGTTGGATGAAAGAAACTATCGTCCAATAACATTGCTAAGCACAGTAGATAAGGTTTTTGAGTCTATGATAAGCATACAAGTGAATAATCATTTTGATTCCAAGCTCGATCCCTGCATATCTGCGTACAGGAAAAAACATAGTTGTGAAACTACTTTGTTCAGACTCACTGAAGATTAGAAGCTGGCTGTGGATTCTGAGCAATTTATTGGAATACTCTCAACAGACATGAGTAAAGCATTTGATTCCCTACATCCATCACTCATGATAAATAAATTTAAGGCGTATGGCTTTTCAGAGGAATCACTCAGCTTGATGAGATCATATTTTTTCAATCGACAAAACAGAGTCAAACTAAATGGAGTCACCAGCGGTTGGAAGGATGCTGTTAGAGGATGCCCTCAAGGGTCATCATTTGGACCCTTACTGTGGAACATTTTTCAAAATGATATGACGTATATAGTCAATAATGCAAGCTTGTCAATGTACGCTGACGATCATCAGCTGTATGTAAAGGGTATTCAGTTGACTGCGTGGAACAACTTTTAACTAATGGGCGGCACACTATATCAAAATGGTACAAAGATAACTTTCTGAAGGGAAATTACGACAAGTACAATTCAATGTTATTAGGCAGGAAGAACAAAAATGAGGACAGTCCATCTATCAATGTCAAGATTGGTGAACAGGTTATTAAATCATTACCAAACTTGAAGTTACTGGGAGTAACATTAGATGATGAACTTAGTTTTAGTACTCATATAAGTGATATATGCAAAATGGCAAGTAAGAAAGTTGGTGTTCTAGTACGTCTTAGAAATATGATTCCCAGAGAAGCCAAGTTGCAATTGTACAAATCAGCAATTCTACCTAACTTAACATATTGTCACATAGTGTGGCATTTTTGCAAAGCAGCTGATGCAAGAAAATTAGAAAGAGTACAAGAACGGGCATTTTGTGCTGTATATAATGATAGGAATGCTACGTATGAGGAACTCCTAGAGAAGGGAAGACTCTCTAGTCTTGAGAACAGACGGTTACAAGATATACTGATTTTAATGTAAAAGGTTAAAAATTCACTAGCTCCAGAGCATGTATGTAATATGTTTTTTCAGCAAGATAAGCATTATAACTTACGAAGTGATTTTCCTGTTCCAAGATATAATACTGTTAAGTATGGAGGGGCGTAGCTAGGGGGACGTCCTGGGGTGCCCGTGACCACCCCTTGGTAGGCCTTCTTTTGAGCAAACAACCTACAATATTCAGGTGGCGAAAACGCCGTGACAATATCTTGGCCGTAAAAGCCATTGTTGAAAAGCCGACTTTTTTGAAATTTGTTTTTTTGTAAAGTATTTTCGTCAACGGCTCTTGTCTCTAGTTAATATGGGCCTTCATGCCGCGATAATACGACTGAGCCCGCTGATACACGAGGGAGAGCAGCGGTATAAACCATATATAGTCGGCGATCCCCGGATGGTGTCCCGGGTGAGTAGCCTCTGTGACCCCCCCTTTGAAACATCCTGGCTACGCCCCTGGTATGGCACGCACAGTATCAGATATTTAGGCCCACACATATAGGGCAAGATAAGCCAGGAACTACGCAGTAAGACCAGTCTTCAGGCATTCAGGAGAGGGGTGCGTGCTCTCAATGTGCTTGGCTTGCTGGACGGCACGTGTGGCTGCTGTGCATGCTCATCTTAGAGTGGTGGGTATGCATAGTAGCTTCTGCTGTGTGGCTGCCTTGTGTATTGAGGTGTCCTCCCCTATCCTCTATTTAATTCGTCTAATTTAAATTTTCTAGACTTTTAACTTTCTGAATTTTGCATTTATGTTTGACTGCTGCTTATATGTTTGTCCTATATTGTCTGTTTGTTTGTCTATCTATCTGATTGTCTGTTTCGTCTATCTATTTGTTTGTCTTTGTTTGTTCCCTGCTTGTCCTACTGTTTGTCTGTAATAATTTTATATATTGATGTTATTTTATATATTAGTGATATTTTAAGAATATATTTTTAATATTTTTACATATACTTGATTTAATCTTATATTATATTCATTTCATTTATTTATAGTGTCCACAATTAGCTTTCAGCTAAATACCTTGACACTTTAATACAGTTTATGTATGTATGTATGTATGTATGTATGTTATTGATTAACTAATATCTCTGTGTTTTGCCTTTCAGCTAAGGAGATCCTCATGGAAGGTCAACAAGTGGTGGACGCTGCTACTAAAGGAGCCATGCTTGGTTCTGTGCTAGGGGTCGTAAAGGCACTTTATTCCATCAGCCGTAAGTATGAAGCATGTAAGTTCGAGATCAATAACCTCCAGGCTGACCTAGGAATACTAAGAAATAAGATCAAAGAAAATAATCCAAAGCTTGACGATTTGAATGAGACAATGGGTGACTTGAATGTTGTGTAGCGAGTCTGATCTAGTCTCAGACTAAATATAGCAGTAACAGGCTATAACATTGTGTACCACCTAATTCGAACTAATAGCATGTTATGTCTTTGTCAGATTAACTGTGTTAAAAGCAATTCCTTAGAAAGCTAAACACAACTAATGCCCCATTCACACTTACCAAGTAAACATGTTTAATAAAATTAAGGGTAATAAGATGACAAACAGTAACGCAAAACTAGACTCTTAAGTTTTTAGACAGAATTCGATTGATTTTTTACATGCTACAACATTGCACTAAATTTCCCAGCAATAAAAGTATAGTAGCAGCTTTTATAAGCAAAAAAAATGAACCGTTATTGTAACTATTTAAACAGTTTTAAAACATGTTTAAGTGGTGTGAATGGGACTTAAGATTGACTGGCTGTCAGTTTTGTTTTCACTGACGATAAAAATTCCAAAAATGTGTCTTCACGAGCCTTGTCTTTTTCTGTAATTATTTCTTACCTTTTTTCAAGCATATGTCACCATGGTTTTGTAAAACTAAAGTTTGCATGCTTGCATCCTTGAACAACCAGGGGCAACTTATCGCGGAGATTGCAGACAAATTTTACGAAACTCAGAACGATGGATCGGATCCCCTGGCCAATGAGCATTGACTAATGACGAGAACGTTGACTACGAGTTCGAATTCGTTTTGTTAGCTCAATTCTCGTTATACTCGTACTCATAGTTAAAAAATGGATGATGAGCATAAATTATATGAACGAGCGGACAATTGGTTGCCTCTGTTTCCTCTTCCATGCGTTCAGATGGTGGGTTCAGGCGACGCAAAGAAACCTCTCTACTCTCAATTTCCCGGCATTCGCCACCATCTGAACGCTTGGAACAATCTACTACCTCCGGGTCTCCAAGTACAGTATGTTTGTAAACTAGAATCTAAATGTTGAAAACTCGATGATTCTTCTTCTCCCTGAATATGTTGTTTCCCTAATTGTTCGATTATACCTTAATTAAAATCTTAGTCTCTTTCAGTCGTACGTGTAATTTACCGTTAGCATGCGTTTGATAATACGATCAGCTACATTTTAAGAACTTAAACAGATTCCTTAATTACCAAGTAAAAACTTGCTGATTAAATGCTGAAAAAACCCTTAACACCTTTCCTGTGTCAAAACGCCCTAGTACGTTTTTCCTACGCCAGGGTAATTAAATCCAAATTTCGGTTTAGTAGAGATAAAAGACAAATCAGTCAACAAACACCTTTAAGTTTACTTATTTTTCTGAAAGCCAGCCAATGTCATAATTAATTACGTCATTTTACTTAACTGCCCGCCTGAATGCTTCAAGAGCTTTTTTCTTATACAAATTATGATTATGGTTTTGTTTAAACATCACTGAGATTAAAACAAAACGACTCGAAATGCGTTTTGATAGTTACAGTAAAATAAAAAAACCGTGAAAATGGGCTAGTTTTGTTGTACAGAAATGAGTCAAAGGCGAGTGCGAGTCTTTAGGGAGGCATGATAGGGAGGCATGAGGTCTAGCATTATAATATTTATCTGACTTCTGTGTCTATAAGGCGAGTAAGTTAAGGTTTTCACACTTACCGATCCACCTAAGACACCTAAAGTCGTCGAGCCAGGTCAAGCGTCATCCAACAGATTCTATTTCACAAGTAGCCTGTAAGCCAGTAGACACTGTTTGACTCTTAGAAAACGGGAATGAATACGCTAGTAATTATTTTAGTAGAGCCAACTAGCATTAACTACCTTCGAGTCTTTACCAATTTTTCAGTGCATGTATCGGAATTTAAAGATTTGAATCTGATGCAAGTAGCCTATTCACTTTTAAAAGGATCAGTCCATTAATAGAGCCTATCTGGAGAACGCTAGATCAAGCGTCGGCTTGGTTTTGTCTGTAATCTTGTGCTTTAACTGTCCTATGAAAAACGAATCAATGCCTAGCGTTTGAAAGTAGCTTACCGAGGACGTATTAATCTAGTGTTTAGTCATACAATAGGAAGTAGTGCGTCTCCCTTGGTCAAATTCCACTGAGATAAATTTTTTGTAGCGGTTACGGGGAAAATGTTAATTATCAAATTCGAATCTCAGTCTGTAAAAGAATTTGATACTGATTTAACTTAATCGGTGGGTTCTCTTGGATTCGAAATTCAGAGGTCTGTCAAGTAACTGCTGTTTAGTCTTTTGCAATGTGCTTATTAAATCTATGGTTATTTTGACTGTTTTCCTGTGAACTACAAGAAGCGCAGTGCAGTTTTGTTTTCGTAGTAAATGCCCAAACTTGAAAAAAAATGCTTTTAGATATAAGTTCACAACTCTTAGGCGGACTGCGTCAGATTCTTTTCTTATTCAGTGACAGTCCCTACATTCTGCTCTAACACAATCTAACACAATGCTTTCTCGATTTTTATAGCCCTTATCATCGGGGCTTCAGTTTTCAGCCTCTGCCTGTTCTTCTCATTGAAAGGATGGTTCGACAAGAGAGAACTCCACAACAAATTATCCTTAATTCTTCGTAATCACTCAGAAATGGCCAATGAATGCCAGAACATATTAAAAGTTACAGGTTAAGGTAGGCAGTGTCTTTTTTTGGCGTAAAAAATCAGGGCTGGCAAATCTGTGATCTGCAGCAGTCGTCCTTCGAGAATCTTCAAGATTTGGAGTGACTCAGTCCAACCTTAAAAAGAAACATGTATTTTGAGCTTGCATAGACCCAATGCAAAAATGGCTTCTGGATTAATATTCTTTTGTTAAAATTAAAATTAGCCGGGATAGCCACGTTCATCAGTACACAATTCAAAAGAATACATCAACTCAAGCGACGCTAGTCAGGCTAATTTTAATTTGAATAATGGCATATTAATCCAGCTGGTATTTTTCCACTGTGTCTATCAAGCAAAACTGATCAAGTGCGAACTGACAACTTGTGACAAACGTATTTTATTTTTTGTCAGTTTCACTCATGAAGTATGAGGAAAGTCATATTAAAATCATTAATTCAATATTACAGAAAGCCTCCGGGGAAAGTCTATTTCGGTACTACTAGGCTAGAAACGAATGATGAAAATTTTACCGTGTTACGTTTTTTTTTAACTGAATTATTTAATTTTGTGGAAACTAAACTTAAGCTATGTCTAAAAAGAACCCTTTAAGTGTCAATGTATTTAGCAGGAAAGTACTAATTGGGGAAATTACTTTAAAGTGTGATCATCCGAGCCACGCGAAGGTCTAGCCATTTGCAGGGCAAAGGCAGTACCTTCATTTCTCAGTTATTTTAAGACCCTGAGTATTGGTCTGCTCCCGGGAATCGAACCCGAGACCTTCCGCTTTGCAGTCAAACGCTCTACCGACTGAGCTTAACCTGCCGCGGTTAAATGAGATATACTTCGGCCAGGTATCTATGTACGCTATTAAGACTGGAACGAAGAGTCGCGGCACAAAGAAACCTATCCGATAGGTGACGATCCAGGTTCGCAGGGCAGGTTCGCTCTGTTCAAGAATCACCGTTCTTTTTCGTGAACAAAAGCCCCACCTGGTATTGCTTTCGTGCCGGCACTAGAGCTATCCGTTATAACGTAGAAATATCCTAAATAAGTGTTGTAAAAGCATATTCGCGCCTTTCAATGTTAACGTAGTTTTAAGCCAGGATTCCTGTGGACGTGCTCCAAGTAGGCTCGTTGCATTCTCCCCCCACGATCGGTGACTGATTCTAGGGCGAAAGTGCAGATTGCAAGGCTTCCCGAACGGTGCGTAAGCTCAGAGCCAGCCATCTCATCTTATGTGCCTCTAAGACACGAGCGACTTTGAGCAAGTACAAGGTCAATGCCATAAGTTGGGTTTAAATATTGTATTGAATAATTTGTAAACGAAATAAAACCTTTTCACATTACAACATTACTGTTGTTTTAATTTTATTTATCTATTTGTAATTTCCTTTTGTGGGGGTAGGGGGTAGCCTGCGTAGCTGCAGGTTTAATTTGTTTCTCGAGTGCGCAAATGAGCAGCGAAGCCGAGAGGAGAATGGAGCAGAAATCGCGCGCGTTTTCGAAGTTTGTTCCCTATTGTAAACTAAAACAAACAAACCGCCAGCTATGCAGGCTTTTATTCTGGTAAACTGATTGTATCATGTTAAGTCGATTGGTCTCAGCTTCTTTAGGGCCGAAAAGTTGTTTTGATACTCTTAGGTAGCGTTAATCCTTTTAATACAATGGCTGAGACAATATGTCTACATCAAGCTCAAGCTTTCGGTAAAGTTGTTGTTTTGCTGAGTAAACCTATTGACTTTTTGACGTTCACGATGTCGTCGTCGTTGCTTAAGCTCCCTACCACTTAAGAGCAAGGGCAAAGTGAAAATTCTTTTCGATGAAAATGATTTAAATTAAATGAGGATGGAAAGCTTTTTGTCCATAAAAGAAAACGCACTTGCACTCGTTTTGAAAACGCGGACTCGGAACAAAAATTGTAAATCTCCCATAGCACCTTGTCCGCAACCCATAACCTTTGCTTTCTCCTGGGTATTACAAGGGTTGTGACAACAGAATGGATACCTTAAAATCAGGTTGGACACCTTATGTCAATTATACAAAGCTATATTCTCTACCACGTGATACTATATTTATGCGAATATATTGGGCACATTTTTGAGAAAAGTGGGGAAATCAGGATAAGAGAGTGACAGTTGTGCAAGGAAAAGAGTTGAATACAGGGTTTAGAACCGAATTACAGTGATTAGGGTTAAGGTGGCTCGATAGAGTTTTTCAGGGTCAATACCTCCCAAGTTTGAGCATAAACTAAGTCGCCATAAACAAAGTTTTGGAAAAATTGCCACCACAGTTGAATTAGATGAAGATGAAAATTTGTTATGATCAGGGTTGCAACGGCATCGGAGTTGTCATAGCAACGAAATGACGCTATTACCAATTTCACTTGCAGCATTATATCTCGGAACTGAGAACTGTTCTTCCAAAATCGTTCACGGGAGCTTTTCCTCTAATAGCA